GAGCAGGGAGCCCGATGCGGGACTCGATCCCGGGACTCCAGGATCATGACCTGAGCCAAAGGCAGTCGCTTAACCAACTGAGCCACCCAGGAGCCCGTGTATGGCTTTTTTCACTTAGCATAATGTTTTCAAGGTTCGTCCATGTTGTAGCAGTGTACTAGTATTTTATTCCTTTTTATGGCTGAATAATATTCTACTGTATTATGTCTTAATCAGTACAGGCTGCTATAACAAAACACCAGAGACTATGTGGCTTAACAACAAACATTCATTTATCAGAGTTCTGGAGGCTAGGAAGTTCAAGATCAGGGTGCTCGTAGATTTGATCTCTGATGAGGGCCTACTTCCTGGTTTGCAAATGGCTACTTTCTTACTGTATCCTCATATGGTAGAAAGAGATTACCTCTCTTGTTTCTCTTATAGGGCCACTAATCCCATTCATGTCAGTTCTACCCTCATGACCTTATTACCTCTTAAGGGCCCATTTCCAAATACTATTACATTAGGGAGTAGGGCTTAAGCATATGAATTTTAGGGGGACACAGACATTCAATCCATAGTGTATGGATACACCACATTTTTGTTTATCCATCATCTATTGATGGATATTTGGTTTGTTTATACCTTTTGGCTATTGTGAATAGTGCTGCTAGGAGCATTTGTTTACAAGTATTTGTTTGAATACTTGTTTTTAATTCTTTTAGGTATTGCTGAGTCATGTGGTAATTCTATGTTTAACTTTTTGAGGAACTGCCAAACTATTTTCCACGGTGGTTTGCATGTCTTACATTCTCACCAGCAATGTACAAGAGTTCCAGCTTCTCCACATCCTCACCAATACTTACTTTCCTCTCTTTTTTTTTAATAGCCATCCTAGTGGGTGTGAAGTGGTTTTTCATTGTGCATTGTTATCCTGAGTTTGTTGCAATATAATGAATCACGACCTGGTAAATGCTATTTACCTGTTCTCTAATAAATTACACTCATAAAACAAATGGACATGAAAATAAATTGGCTTAGATTTTAGAATATGGTCTTGAAAATATTGGAAAGACTTTTATGAACAGGCAGTTTTTATATTGTAAACTAATAGACTCAACTAACTTTAACGTCCTTAAAAGTCTCTAAAGTTTTTTTAACTTCAGCTTTGACATATGCCTTTTAAAGTAAAGGCTCAATTTGAAGAAGAATAAATAATTTGGTTCAAACTTTATTTATACATGTGTGATATTTACAAGTTTTTAAAAAGGTATGAAGATTGTTTTATTTTAACATTTCAAATTGTTATATTTGCCCAGAATATAAAACAGAACTATGGTTCTCTGTATGTCTGGATGTACATATATATCTTTGAGGATTTAAAGAATATGTGTATATTTGGATGTGGTGTGTGTAGATGTAGTATGCAATCTCTACAGCTCCAAGTATTTCTGTGACTCACTGCATATCAGTGAAAAGGATGTACGTGAGTCTCTGTATCTATTCAAATGAACTCTGTAATTATGTCCTTGAAATTATTTTCCATAAAACTAAATGTATTAAATTGAAAGTACCATCATTTTGAGATATGGCCCTTCTTTTTTAAGGGTTAAAATGCCTATCCTTGCAGCCATTCTGAAACTGAGCTGTAATCACCGGTAGTATTTTCTCCCTTTCCTTCTACATCAGTATTACACTTGAACA